GTAGGGCAACTTCTTTCTGATGTTCATCAAAGCGAAGGCCAATGGAATGAAGACGATTTTGCATGTCATGGCTCTGTTGGCGGATGCTCGTGTCGAGCGTGGTGATGTTCTTCTGAGTCTCAGACTGAAAGCTAGCATTTGAAGCTTCAATGGATGCCAATCGAACCTCCAATGCATGGAGTTTCCCCTCCTGTTCCTTGAACTTGGTCTCAGTAGGGCCTGTGACAGAGCGAGCACTACCCAGGGCAGGAACAGAACGTCCCTGAGTGGCCAAGTAATGTGCCCAAGGATCGCTCGAGGCAGAAGAACTCGCTGGAGCTCCCGAGGCTGTGGCACTGAGTGTGACGTCGCCCACCACAACTGGTGATTGAGAGACTTTGCTCTTGGGAGGCAGAGCTTTTGCTAGTACCGGCGAAGAGTTGAACATGAGGATGCCTTCAGGTGCCGCTTCAGCGCTCGCAATCAGCCAAGCTGTGGCGCCGACTTGGCGAATTGGCTGAATGGTCCATTGGTACGCTTTGGCCCACTGGAGTAACATATCCCTCGATGTACCGTACGGCAAAGGCTGCACTTTGAACCAAGTGGCCCCCCTGCAAGTCCGGCGGGACCTCCTTCGCGGGGCAAATGATTTTCCAAGCCTCCGAGAAATCCTCCTGTCGGAAACGCAACCCCATTCCAGAGCGGCCTTTCACTAGGCCAATGCACCCCGATGTCTGTTTGGATAAAGTGGTGAGCCGTGGCAAGTCACCCTCACTCCAAATTATGCGAAAGCGGCTGTCCTGGCGTCCGCCAGCATTCTTCGGTGTGCAGAAAATCTTGTTGAATCCGCTCGCTTGCAAGATTGTGATCTGATGCTCCGGCAGAGTTGATCCGTGCAGTTGGACTGAGGTTGCTTGGGGTGCTGCAACTGCTTTACCACGATTGCGGAGGGAGCGTCCCCATGTAGACTGGATTAGCTGGACACATCCGGCTTGGTTGAAGGTGTTCACAATGAATGGTGTCGTGGCATCAAGGATTTGACCCCATTCATCAGCATTCCAGTCTTCTCGCCACAGAGTAAAGGCAATGCTACAGCAGGCTGGATTGGTGGTTTTGTGAACTCCTTCCGAGCATTTGAGCTGCTTCTCCCCAAATTGAACCAAAGTGCCAGCAAGGATGATAGTGTCACCACCCGGGATCGCACAAGGCACCGTTACTGAGTGATGCTTCAATGAGGTATCGAGGCTAGCCTGAGTGACCACAATGATTCCCAATTCATCTTTCGAAAGGACAGCATTCTCGCGAATCCATGGCAGTGCTTGATCCAACTGGGCTAACATCACTCCCGAGGATTGGAGCACGAAGGACTGCATCTGTGTGTAGCCTCAGAGCCATCTTCATTGACGATGAATCCTGGCATAATGGTGACTCCCATGAGGTCAATTTGAGGTGGACGTTTCTTCTGTGCCTGGGTCTGGCGCGAAGAGCTCTGCAAGTCAAGTGCGCCCGATCGCTTGCGAGGCAGTTCTACTCCAACACTTTCCAAGGCCTGCAAAATGCCATGACCCCGGGAACCATCCTTGCCCCGAAGAAGAGCCGAAGCTGCGCTGAATCCAATGTGTCGGAAGAGCGTGTCAACAGCCTTGGACACCCAAGCGATGTCATACTGAAGATCAAGAAGCAACCCAGCAATCTCATTCTTCACCGCCACAGTTTGAGGATGCTGGCCTCCACTACCACCTCCCTGAATCCTGGTAGTGATGTGAAGGACGTAGGCATGACCCCTTTGGTCCAGATGTCGAAGGGACGCCACTTTTTGCTCTGGAAGGATGCGAGAGGCCGAGAACCCATGAATGAGCCGAAGTTCTTCAGAGGCAACAACTGGGTTCCAAAGTTGTTGAAGCAACGCCAACAGCTGATCAAACCCCATCTCAGGATCCAAGTGGCCTTCCCACAGCAATCTCTTGCACCATTTCAAAGCAACGAAAACTCCCTCCGATATCTTGATGCAATCCAATGTGCTTCGCACCGCTCTGACTGCCCACCAAAGCATGAACTGTGCAGGAGGCAGGGGGACCATAGAACGGAGTTGAACCTTGATCATGAAGGATCCATCCATAACCGTTCGATCAATCTGAAGATTGAAGGTGGCTCGACCTTCCGTGGTAAGGGCCTCATCCCAAAGAGTCGCCCAGATGGCACAGCCCTGATGCTCACCCACCCCATGGAGAATGTGCACATCCGCATCATGCTTCCAGTGGTATGCACAGTTGACCGTGGTTGCATCCTGCAGAATCTGTTGGCTCGTGAGACTAAGCCGAGCATGACTCCATCCATGCAAAGAGAGGGCCATCTCAGGGATGATATGGGAACGAAGGGGCACCAGATCAAATTGGTCATGCCACAATTTCTCCTGTTCCTCACTGGAAAGAAGGGATTGAACCATTTCCCCTTTGGAGACAAACCGCATATCGACATCCGCTTGTTGCATGACAGGGATACACCAGCCATTGTCATCACCTGCACTGTCGTTGGAAGGCTCCGGAAGGGGAAAAAATCGATCTTGGTCCTCCAGCTGCTCAGAGTCAGATTCATGTCTCAAGGAATGCTTCCACAAAGCCTGCAAGGCCGCCAACGAAGTATTCTGCTCAACCAGAAACATCTTTGTGGTGTTCTCGAACAGGATCCTACACCTTAGAAGCACTCGAACTGGAAGGGTCTGTTCCAGAGCTTCATGCGGTGTGATCTGTACAGCATGAGGTGTCCACGGCTTGAGACAAGGAATATTCAAGACAGGATCGTGGTCATCCAAGAATCCCTGCAAAGGCACTACACCCAACTCAGGTGTCCAGAAGGTATTGCTTGGCAACTGTTCAAAGCCCGGTTGGAAGAGCTGCTGTATCATGTCCTCATGCAGGAGGAATCGAGCCGATTGATCCATCCACATAGTGCCTGAGGGATACACTTCTGCATGCAGTGTTGATGCCTTGAGACGATTCTTGTCAAAGAATTCCCAAACATCTTCCCAGGAGAGTCGATAATCCCTGGTTTCCAGCATATTGATGCCCTGTACCAAGATCCAGAGGGCATGAGGGATCGCAATCTGATTACCCAGTCCCTTCCATTCCTGAGTCAGGTCATTACCCAGCCATAGACCACCCCACGCTCCATGGATGAGGGCCACCTCCATTGGATGCCAGAACCTTAGCGCGTCGGAATCCGCAGGTTGAAACCAATGTGCAAAGTAGCCCTTGGTCTCAAGAAGCTCCTGATGCAGCTGGTGTTGCTTCCCATACTGAGCCATGAACGTAGGAAGACAGCTGTCTGTGGCACGGAAAACATGTGATTCATATGCTTCTTCAGCTGTAAACCGTCTCTGACGTTTGATGTTCCGATCCAAGGGATGCTCTCTGGCCTGCTGTAAAGCAGATGGTGGCACTGCCAGCTGGCGAAGAACATCGTGGGGCCATGTTCGAATGCAGTCGAGTTCAAGCAATGAAATCGTCCGCTCAATGGACCACGAAGAGATGGAAGCCATTTGTAGTCCGTCCTCATGGATGAAGTAGGCAACTCCAAGCCACCGGAGTCTTCGAACTGGCATGACATCTCCCAAATCAATCACTCGAGAAAACCTGAGTTGGTATCCAGAGAACCAAAGTGCCTTCTCAATCCACATACGGTGAGGATGCGAGTGAAATCCAGCAACCTGCTCAATCAGGATAATCTTGGGACGAAGCAGCTTGCAAAGACCAATGCTCCTCATGAAGAGCTGCCCCTCCGTGGTGTGAAGGCCCTTCTGAGAGGATGCCCCGCTCCAAGGTGGACAGGGAGCACTAATGGTGATGATCTCAGGAGCCCAACAAGCCACCGCTTGCATCCAGTTGCAGTCCATGACATCCCCATGGATACACCATCCCTCTTTGAAGGAGTAAAGCGCCAAAGGTGGGAGCTCACGTGCTGCTGACAGTAGTGGACACCTGTGGGACAAGGCATAGCTCCTGGCAGCATGGAAGTCTACTTCAATTGAGCCTGAAACCATGTTCACTTCCATCTCATTCAGAAGCTGGGTGGCAAAGGACCAGCCCCCCAAATGAGCCACCGAACAAATGCAGAATATGGATCGGACCATCATCAGCTTTCTTCAACGGGAGGAGCAAGGTCTCGTTATCAATAGACAGGTAGCCTCGCGTGTTTGGTCCAGGGAAGTTCAGCGCAGCATTCCAAATCATGCATTTTCCATCAATGCCCTGGATGCACATATTGTGTAAGGCGCTCTTGTCATCAGCTTTCCAATCAAAGGTGATGGACTGTGGCATCAAATCATCAGGCCCAACCCAGACACTGTCAACATCCAGATACTTCAGGCCTCGTCCGCTGGCAGTCAAGTGGTCTGCTTCCCACAGAAACAAGTCATCGAATCGCTTCAATGTCAAGCGGTCAACCAACAGGGAAGGTCGATCTTCAAGCCAGCCACCAGCGTCTCCCCAAAGGGAGTATCCTCGGAGGATCTCTCGAGCAGCTCCTGGCGCCACTCTTGAGTCCTCGTCCATGGCGTCAGAAATGCCGAGACTCAGTCGGCTCCCCTTCCGGAGGGGATCCGCCACCGCCGCGTGGAGGCCTGAGCCTGGGTGGCTACTAGCGATGGCCTCCAACCTTGTTGCTTGGCGTCGCTTTCAGCTTGTGCGCCTAACCTACTAGCGATGGCCCCTCAACCTGCTTTCGATGGCCTCCAACCTTAGAGCGATGGCCTCCGAACTTTTTGCCTTGGTAGTCAGGTTTTTAAACTTAGGCTGGTGTGTGGCACCGCATTCACATCAGTACGCATTTCTATAACTTATAAGTGTGTGAAGGCCTTGCATCTCATATGGAAATCCTTATTTGGAGCGAGTTGCGCTCCACTCTTTTTAGGGCACATGGCCTAGGCTAAGGAAACGCAAAACAAAGGAATAGCAAACAACAGATGACACACGGACTAGTGCAGTTGAATGTGTTCGCCGTGCCACATTGTACTGACTGACCAGGTTCCTGCTGTGCAGCCGATTGCAGAGGCATGGAGCTTCATTGATCCCATTTCTTTTCAAGGAACAAGACAAGAAACGAGGGCAGGTGTGAAGGGGTCTAAAGGCAAAGAGAAAGGGAGAAAAGGAAGCGAAACGAAACGACGCGAAAGGGAAGGAAAGGGAAAGGGAAAGGGAGAAAGTGCGAACACCATGCATGTTTCCAATAACTCACATAGGACAGGCGTGTAGCTGCCGCAAACAGTTGCAGGTGGTGTGACGCGACGCCGGAACTAGTCTTCATTCTTGCGCTCTTGATTGGGTTGGTCGCTTACTGTAACTTGTAGCGAAATTGTTTCTTTTCAGTTTATGTTGTGTGTTGGGGCGTCGAGGGCGCAGTTGGAAATCGTAGTTGCATTGGTTGCTAAAGATGGAGCAAGTGGATGCGCAACAACTGATGCGCGCAAGATGTCGGCGGGACAGAGGCTTCAACGGGCTGACAGCTGGTGGCTGTCAATAAGGCGTTGCCGCCAGGGAGGCCTGAGTCAGCCTGAGAGCATTGGCGCTGCTGAAAAACAATCGAATGCGTTGGGGCGAGAAGGGCTTGATTGGTGGCAATAAGGGGCTGGGCAACGCTCGGTGATGACCAAGGAGAGCAATGTTTTGGGCTGCGCCAAGCTTGCTGACTCTGCTGCAGGAGTGTTTCTTCCATCAGCAACCATTTTGGTCAGTCGTCGGCTGATGTTGAAAGGCTTCAAAGACATTGGAGCTTGGTTCAAGGGCAATAAAGGAGGCAAAGGAAATTGTGTGGGAAATGTCAAGGAGAGAACTGCAAGGCTGGCTTCTTGCGTGGGAAGCAAACCGTTTGGCAAATGACTGTTGGAGCCAGTAGAAAGGAAAAGATAAAAAAGGCAGTCAGTTGAAAGGCGAAAACTGCGGCGAAGAAGGCCAAGGGCTGTTGGAGCAAAGCCGGAGGACAGGGAAAGAGTTGGCGCAAAGGGGCTTTGAAAGCAGTTGGGTTGCTGACTCATGAGCCGGAAGAGATCAGCGCAGCGTCGGGGGAAAGGCGTGATGACATGGGTGAAGCGACAATTACAGGTATTAAGCGCAGAGTGACAGGACACGTTGCAGATCTTCGCCAGGTGCTGCTGTGAATAGAAGGTCTTTGAGGGCGGTGTAGATGTTGATGTAGATAGAACGTTGCGGTCTGACTCTGAGCAGTCTCAATGCAATAGGTTCAGTTGAGACGCAGTTAGGCTAGCTGTTTCTGGGCAGTTCTTGCAAGAAGCAGAAGGGGATAAATTTGAAGAGTTTGCCCCAATGCAAAGGAGCCTGTTGAAGTGAGGTTTTCGAAACCTGTGTTGGAAGAATGAAAGTTGGTTGCAAAATGACAATGGGGTGCAACTTGACCATCGACGGCAGCAGAGTCGATAGCGTATCGAGATGGTGCTGGAAAGGCCAAGCATGTGCAGGCAGGACCATTATGGTTTCAGCGACGGATAGATCGTGCAGGCCGGAAGGAGAACGTGTGCGTCAGGGGTTAATGTGGGGCCAATAAGCCCATCGGTCCATCGCGCAGAAAGAACAAACATCTAAGAGCAAACGCGACAAGAACATACAATAACATAATTAATAGGGAGAAAGGAACATGTCTTTTGTTTACCAACAGCGTTCTTGTTTATACTAGCAAGGAGTAGTCATCGTGTCCGAAACGCATGCTGCTTCAGTGACCCCAACTTAGGTCCCAAGGCCATGGTTTTGAACTTCTAGGCTTTCTGCAGCTTGAATTTGGTCAGGCTACTGCTAGGTCAGCCAGTTTCACATGCAGTGCCAGGGCCTTTTCCACCCGTTTAGTTGCAGTTATGTTCAGTTCTATACGTGAACGTTTTGGCACGTCAAGCAATAGCCGGGGTCGACGCAGACCTTGCAGCCTTCAAGCGCGCGCCGCTGCTTTTTAGGTTGACAAAAACGGACAGCCGTTGGGTATCCGTGTTGAGTACGTTCGCGACAAGTGCATTGTCCTTGTGGCAGACTCAGCCGTTTGTAAACCGGGAACTAAGGAAACCTTCCACACCCTTCTTCAAAATCTTTCAAGACGTTTCTGTTTTTCTTCTCTCGAAGGCTGTGACAAGTGGCCTGATCCCAGCATGGAGTCTTGGTTGCGTTAGCCGGCTTGGCTGCAAGACCGTGACCTTTTCAATCTTGTTTCAAAGCGCTTTCCAAGGAACAACGCAAACCCCGACAAGGTTGGAGAACACCCATGGCCACAGTTTTGCAATTGTTTGTTGGTTTCAGTTCCAATCAGGCTGTTCGCCCTGGGGATTGCATCTCTCAGGCCAAACAATTTATTCAGTCCGTCAATGCGCAAACCGATTTTGTTCATCAATTTGCGCAGGTTAACGGGGAAGCTGTAAGCGGAGCCCAGGCTGCAGACAAACTGGCTCAAAGCGCTGGCAAGGCCAGGATTCTTCCACTTGTAATCAGTAATCAACAATATTGTTGCCACACCACACGTGCATACATTCCATTCTGAAACGTGGCTTTCGGTTCCTCATCAAATGATAAGGTGGAACTTCTCCTCGAAAGACCACAGGAGCTTCGGATTCCTATCCAGGCTTTGTGTTCTTTCTGGCTTTCCGCTTTTGTAGTGTGACGACCAATGCAGCCAGGTTGGCGAGGTGCTTGGAATCAAGGTGCCGGGAGAGCCTGAAGTTTTGTGGCAGCTATTTATTGTCTACAATTTACTGCTGCTCACAATGCACTGAAACGAAATGACACAAACGGAATGAAGTGTCCAAAAAACCTTGCCAGGTGTCAGAACTACTTGAGGGCTTCGGCGTGGAGGCCTTGTGGAATGACGCCATCGTAGACCCCAAACAGTTTTCAACATCGGAACACTCTGCAACTAGAGCTTGAGACAAATAAGGGATTGCAAGGCAGGGGAGACAAGACGGAGACAGTGACGAACAAGAAGGGAGACAAAAGGAGACAGAAAAGAGAAAAGGGAACAGAAGGGAGACAAGGCGGACACAGTGACCAACAAGAAGGGAAACAAAGGGAGACAGAAGGGAGAAAAGGCGGACACAATGACCAACAAGAAGAGAGACAAGAAGGGAGACAAAAGGAAACAGAAGGGCGACAAGGCGGACGACAAGAAGGGAGACAAAAGGAAACAGAAGGGATGACACAGTGACCAACAAGAAGGGAGACAAGAAGACACAGTGACCAACAAGAAGGGAGACAAGAAGGGAGACAAAAGGAAGCAGAAGGGATACAAGGCGGACACAGTGACCAACAAGAAGGGAGACAAGAGATGAGACAAAGGGAGGCAGAAGGGAGACAAGGCGGACACAGTGACCAACAAGAAGGGAGACAAGCAGGGAGACAAAAGAGACGGAAGGGAGACAAGGCGGACACAGTGACCAACAAGAAGGGAGGCAAGACCTGAGACAAAGGGAGACAGAAGGGAGACAAGGCGGACACAATGACCCCGAGACATAAAGGGAGAGAAGGCGGACACAGTGGAGACAAGGCGGACACAGTGACAAACAAGAAGGGAGACAAGATCGGAGACAAAGGGAGACAGGAGGGAGACAAGGCGGACACAGTGACCAACAGGGGAGGCGGCCACGCAGTCCCGCAGCAAGGGAGACACCCTTAGAAAGCATTGAGAACCCCTAACAGTAACCTGTCTGAGGAAGTGAGACAAATGAATAGAATAGAAATGCTGCATGGCCAGTGGACAAGGTGGACACCAGCAGTGCAGGCACCGAACCTGGGAGGCAAAAGTAAGGAAGGCACATGGGAGACAAATGAATAGAACTGCAGCATGGCCAGCGGAAAAGGCACCGAACCCGGGAGACAGAAGGAAAGAAATTACATGGGAAACAAATGAATAGAAATGCTGCGTGGCCAGCGGAAAAGGGCGGACACCAGCAGTGCAGGCACCGAACCTGGGAGACAAACGTAAAGAAATCACCCGGGAGACAGACAAGTGAATAGAACTTAGAAATGCTGCATGGCCAGCAGAAGAGGGCGGACACCAGCAATGACAGAAAGGGCGGACACATCTGAAGAAAGAATTGAGAACCCCCCACAGTAAACTATTTGGGGAAAAACAGTAAAGCCGATAGATAGCTGCCTCCATTTGCAGGTGACGGAGGTGAAGCAAGATGGCCAGATTCCTTCTTTCAACAAGGCCAGGAACATGGAAAGGATGAATAGGCCAGAGACGGCCAGTGTCAGAGTCTAGAAGTTGCCAGGACAAGCAACTGGCTGTGCGTCCAAGTGACCGGATTGTTGCGGTGAACGGCTGCTAAATTGCATTTATTGACACTGGAATTTGGATTGACAAACTTGATCAGTTCATCAAGTAGCTTTTTGACAGCTCTTGAAATGAGCGGTGTCGTTCATAGCGGGCACAACTGAAGGAAAGCAAGCAAGCTCTTCGGAACTTTTCGAGATGGTCGCAGCTAGCAGCTGCCAGGCCTGATAGCTGCGCAGATCAGATAGTTAAGCAGTCAAACATTTTGTACCAATGCAGTCAAGCACTCTATCTCTCACACATGCACACATTTTATGCAAGAAAATTGATGGCACTGCTATTTCATCAATGTTGAAAGTCTTTGATGACAAACCTCCAGGAACTGTTGGTGTACACATATTCCTGAAGAGCGGGAGGCAGGCCTCCCAACAAGAGTTCACTTGCGGAAATGGCATTTTGCAAGTCTAAGCTTCTCTGCACAAGGCAGTGGCGTTTTGCGCAACTGAAACAGGTTTCGGCCCCTCAGCAACTGCTGAGCACTGGTTTTCAATTGTGCCTGAACGGATGTGGCAGACTGAGATGGCAAAACGCCATGCGATTGCTACGCTGCTACACATTTTTGATTAACATTTGCAGCTTGGGGCCCCGGCAAATCCTGCACTGATTGGTCCTTTGTGACCATGTTAGGCGCAGTCAGAAGTTGGTTTGGCGAAGGGTGTTTCAACCATGCCAATGCTTTCTGAAACAACTGGTTTGAGAATCGTCTGATTTGCGTCTAGCCTTGTTTCACTCAGTTTGTCGAGGCGATGTCATCAGGTCATGGAGAAATTCGGCTCAGATTGAGTGACACTGTGCAGCGGTGCTTTCAGCATTGTTTGACCACTCTGAAAGCCGACAGTAGCAGAGTAGGGCAAGAAATTGACAATCAGGTGGATATCTATGCATTTTTTATTGACGTTTTGTTATGACCAGTCGGGCCGTTTGGATAGTCGGATAGTCTTTTGCTTCTCAAGCTCCTTGAATTTTGGCATGTTTCGGCCCACAGCGCAAACAGCAGAATGCATCAGTAGCAGGCATTAGAAAACGAAGAGTAAGGAACAGGAGAATACCAATCCACAGAACCACACTCAAACCGAACCTAAGGAACACAGTTGGTTGCGGATGTCATTCCTGAAAAAGATCAAGGCGTTCTCTTTTCCGTGTGAGAACTTATCCATTTGTCCACTACCTCATGGAAAGTGTTTCACCAACTCCAGAGGACTGGCTCCGACGCCTTCGCCAAGTTTCAACATAAACACCCAAGTTGCTCCACCCCTTGTTACTAGAAGCTTCTTGTTACTAGTAGCGATGCCAGGAGCCCCTAGTAGCGTCCTTGCTCCTAGTAGCGATGCCCGTGTTCCTAGTAGCTTCTCATTATATAACCTATTGTGCTTTTTGCATCCTTTATTTGCTCAGACTAATTTGCGCGCGCACTTGAAGCATCTAAAAGTAACTCCTCAGGAGCCTCGGGAGAGAACAAGCGGAGCTAGTGAAGATGCGAAAGGAAAAGATGGCAGCAAAGCAGGGAGCAAACCGAAATCTAGGTGCCACGCTCTAAAGCAACAGACAGAACGTACCGCCTCATAACATGTTTTCATTTAAATTTTAGGACTTTATTTACATCCATTGTTGTGTCGTGTGATTACCTTTGTAAGAGGCCCTTAGAGTTTCCCGTGTCAGGGTTCGCCTGGTGGAGTGTGGGCCACTTGTTGGTGCCCAGACTCGGCCCAGTGGTCGAGCTGGTACCCACTTGCAGTGGGCATCAACTCCAACAGGGCACCTTGGACCGCCCTAGCGTCCTTGTTCCTAGTAGCTTCTTGTTCCTAGTAGTAAGGCCAGGAGCCCCTAGCAGCGTCCTTGCTCCTAATAGCGATGCCCTTGTTCCTAGTAGCTTTTTGTTGCTATCTCACGACATTATTCCACTGAAAGCATCGTCATGCGTGCTCTTGATTGAAACAATGCACATGCCTTCCGACTGAAATCCGTTCATAGCAGAGACCAAGGCAATGGGTGCGAGTCTTTTCAACCACCGCGATCGCGCCAAATCGCCAGCGTGACAAGCCTTTTTGTCTGGATATGTCTTGTTGATACTTGTTTCCAAGTTGGTCTTTTGCAGGGTCTTGGGAGGTGTTACAGAAAGCTTATAAGTCAACAAAGTGGCAGATTTTCAGTATTCAACCAAGGTCGCGTGTTGAAAACAGCTTGGGTCTTGCTGAATTCGGCGATGCCTGGACAGAGTTCTACAGTTCAATCAATGGCCTTCCAGTGGCGAGGGGCTACGACCGAATTGTATACGGGGATCATGGGCCATATGTCGAATTTTCGTCTCACCAACTTTGCTGGTCAACCTTCCCAGTCTTCGTGGAGAAGCCCGAGATGAGCTTCTTCGATGAATACTACACTTTGGAAGGATCAACCATGTTGTATGCTCAGAAAAGAACAGTGGTCAACAAGCCAAATCCCCCGTGCGGCCCATGGTCGGCGCAGAACAACCGCCCTGAAGGCTATGCCAACTATCTGATCGGGAAGTTCTACCTGGCCTGTGAGCCCAATGTGATAACCATCAGTCGTCCATCGAGCAAGAAAAAGAGGAGGGGCAAACCGAAAGAATGCAACGATGAGGATGGCCACGTGCTAGAGTCGACAGAGGTTGATGCTCCAGAGGAAGAGTTTTGCGAAGAAGGTCAGGCCTTTGAAGGGCACTGGGCAGGAGAGCCGTGGACACAAGAAGCATCCTGGATGCAACCGTCGCCATGGCTGCAAGAGGAGTGGACACAGACAGCATGCCAGGAAGATTTGCAAGGAGCGTGGACAGATGGTGACTGGTGGGGTGCTTGGCCAATGGCAGGGGAAGTCTTTCCAGAAGCAGAGCAAGCAGACTGTACGCACTATGGCCAGTACAGCTACTGTCAACCGAATGCTGAAAATGACTGGCAGGAGACGTATGCGGGCAGCTCTTGCGCTGTTAGTGATGGAGAGTCCAGTGAAAAAGCGCTGAGGGAAGCATGACAGTTTTAACATGTTTTAACTTTTAGCATGTTTTAACTATTCATTGCACTCTTAATGCACAGCTGATCAATGTATTGAGTTATGTACACATATTGTCTATTTTGTTCCTCACAAAGGGTGCAATTTGGTACACTGTTTGCGGCACGGTTCTGTCAGTGCTGTCACGCTGTTCAGGGTGCCAGCAGGTGCCGTCAGGTTGTTTTGGCCAGCTAGCTATTGTGAAGGATCATCATGCATAGCGATTTCATGATTTGTAAGAATGTTCCTAGTAGAGATGCCAGGAGCCCCTAGTAGCGTCCTTGCTCCTAGTAGTATGGCCAGGAGCCCCAGAAGCTTCTTAGACTTGTGGACAAATAGCTTTAGAATCTTTAGAAGGCTTCGTTTTGACTTTTCCAACACAGTCAGTCCAGTGTTTCCTTGGTGCCCTGCGTCAAGGTGTACCCAAAATACACAGGACCATTGATGTCGCGTTTAGGCTAACATAGTTTGATGAGCATGACAGTGATTTGCGTGTCTATTGGCCCACAGAAGTCTGCTGGGAAGAAGAAGCCCAAGCCTTGTTGCTGCCCAGGCTAGAACTTGCACGCCAGACTCTTCGGAACCACTTTGTTTGACATTTAATATTCATTTGCGTCAAGGGTAAAGGCTCGGGCTGCCGCCAAGATGTCGCTTATGAAGCGGGGCGGGTCACTCTGCCGTGGTTGCGATCATTGGTTTTGCCAGAGTTGCATGTAAAACTGTAAAACCATTCTGCAAAGTGAGATTGCTTGTCTTTTTGCATGCAAATTGGGACTTCCACCAGCAGCATTTGCGCAAAAGGCAAAACCCCGCCCTCAGCACTTGCCTAAAATGCGCGTAGGGAGTGAGAACAGCACTATAATTGGAAAGCGAAGCCGGAAAACTGAATACTAGTCAGGCACCTTGTTCTTGCTACTAATGGCAATGCACCTGTTACTAATAGCGATTCCCTTGTTGGTTTATAACGGGGGGACTTTGAGAAACAACGCCAACACACAAAACAGTTGTCTTAGTAGGCACTGCCTCAAATGTCCCGAGATTGGAATTGATTTTACTGAAATTGTGCCGCGCACTCTTGAATGATGATGTGGCGCTGAGCTCAAGATTGAAAGCTAAGGCGATAAGCTAAACATAAGGCGGCCTATATGAAAAGTTGGTTGAAAAGAAGACACACACACAAAAAGAAAAAGCACAAGGCAAACGCGCGCACACACTTAGATTGTTGCTCGCAAGAGCTAGTATCAGTATGAAGTTCCCCTTGACTTGATTGAACCGGCAAGAACGAAAACCGAAAGGTGGCTGGGTCGAAGGAGTTGTAGATGTTTAACAATGTTTCTTTGAGATTGGTGAAACGACGAGTTAAACATTGGCCTGCAGGTACACGAGAAGGCGTCCCTTCTCGCTTCACAATCTCAAACCACCGTCTTCGTTGGGCAGTGGATGGAATGAGATTCACTGCCCCCCTGCTGCTTGAAATTGGAAGGCACAATGTAGTCCAACGGCAAGTGTCGTAGGTTAGTTGTGAGAACCTTGGAAACAGGTGTTGACACACACAGAGGGCCGGGTGCGGCGCACTCTGCATGGGGGAAAACTGCTGGGAAGTGAGATCAGCTAAGACGCAAGCTTTTTGCAGGGCTTGGCGACAGCTGCGAAGATCATGTCCTTTTTGGACGTAGAGCGCTCGCTCAACAGCCAAGGACGGGTAGGTGTACTTGCGGATGAGGTGGGCTCTGGAATGTAGACCTGAAAGTCGTAGTCGTGTGGATCCAGCTGAGGCATAATCGCGTATCTTCCATGGAGCATCAGGTGGGATGTAGGAGATAGTCCGTTGGTGTAAGTCGACATCGAAGCCCAGTAAGTGCATGTCTTCCACGGGTTCCAGTTGCACTGGGTTGCCATAGAAGTCCGGGTGGATCAAAGTCCGGATGGCGAGGTGCTTGAGGAAGGTGCTGTTGAATGCGATGAAGCGATTGTCCACGTACCGGTAGTAGACGAAATGGATCTCGGTGTGGTTGATGCCACGAGTGTTCGATGAGGGTGATGGCGACATTGCATAAGGCAGGGGAGAGCTGAGAGCCAGTCCCGGCTCCTCGGACCTGCAGGAAATATGAGTTGCGTGCCTTGAAAATGCATGAATCAAGTGCTAAGGCTACAATAGTGGTGATGTCGCTGGTGTGCAGTGTGCTTTGTGTGGGATGTTTGCGGCGGTGACGACCAATGTGGGCGAGCTGGATTGGGTCGCCGGTTTTGTGTGTGTCCACCGTCAGGGTTGGGTTGTCAAAGGTGTGTTGCCAGCGGTTGACCAGGCTGTGGACGGCTTGGATGAGGCGGTCTGGGGGACGGAATTGAAAAAGCCCACCAAATCGTCGTTGACTGCATAAAGATCCACGGAGACTGGTGTGTCCTGAAGGTAGTCGTGGAAGTGGTGCCAAAGTTGAGGAATGGAGAGTTGTCCCGGTGATTGAGGTAGAAGGCGATGGATCATAGTATTGAGGACGTTGGAGGTGACGCGTATGAGTGGGGCCCTAGTAGGATTTGAAGTAGGAGCTGATGGTGCGACCTTTTCGCCATTGTTTCTTGGCTTTCAAGTGGACGACTCCATATGGCATCTTGAACTTGGTGTTGAAGCCCCATTTGTATTTTTGGCGAAG